TGTGCCCAAGTTCAGCTGTCTCTATGTCGACCCGCCACTGCGCCCAGAACTATACGAGGACCCAGATGAAGACGTTCAAGACAAGGTCTTGTTCGTACTGAACAACGTGTCCGAGCGTAATCTGCGCGACAAGATCAACGACCTGACTGAAGCTGTTGAGGAAAGACATCATCAGTGGTTCGCCAACTACCTCGTTGAGGAGCGTGCAAAGATGCAGCCCAACTTCCAACAACTGTATCTCGACATGCTTGACCTGTTTAATGACAAGATGCTCTGGGCCGAGGTTCTTCGAGAGACATATGCCAGTGTCGTTCGCATGCTGAACACAGACTCTACCTTGGGATCTACTGAACGTGGCCACCTGAAAAACCTGGGTTCGTGGCTCGGATCCCTGACCATAGCCCGCGACCAGCCAATCAAATTCCGCAACATTTCATTCAAGGACCTGTTGCATGAGGGTTACGATTCAGACCGCCTCCTATTGGTGATTCCGTTTACCTGCAAAGTATTGGTACAAGCCGCGAAGTCAACAATCTTCAAGCCTCCCAACCCATGGTTGATGGAGATGCTGGGTGTGCTCATGGAGCTATACCACTTTGCTGACCTGAAGCTCAACCAGAAGTTCGAGATTGAAGTTCTCTGCAAGGGCTTGGAGCTTGATCACAAGGACATAGAGCCAACTAACAGCATCCGAGGACGGCCGCCAGTTGATGAAGAATTCCTTGGGTCCATGGTGACAGATGGCATGGAGGCCTTCGGCGACCTTTCTATCATGAGCCTCAATCGCGGTGCACGTGGTCCCAATGAACGCTTCTCTTCAGCAGCAATGACGGCCGCTTTGCCCGATTTCACCAACCAGCTTCAATACCCGCCTTCTGGAAATAGTGCGGTTCCGCCAGCAACGCTTAAGAAGATTTTCCTTACTGCAGTCAATCAGGCTATACAGGAAATCATTGCTCCCGTAGTTGAGCGCTCTGTTACTATTGCCGCAATCTCGACGTCGCAGCTGATCAACAAAGACTTTGCCATGGAACCCGATGAGGAGAAACTTCGCAATGCAGCACACACTGTTGTCAAAGCTCTTTCTGGTTCTTTGGCTCTTGTCACCTGCAAAGAGCCCCTCCGTATGAGTATCCAGAATAACATCCGCCTCACAGCCAGGGATCTTCCTGATCAGGGACTGCCAGAGGGACATATCATCATGTTTGTCAACGACAACCTTGACTTGGTCTGCAACACAGTTGAGCAGGCAGCTGAAATGTCATCCCTCGCAGAAATCGATATGCAAATCGAAGAAGCCGTCCGTATACGTCGCATGTTCCGTAGCTCTCGTCCAAATGAGCCCTTCAAGGATGCAAATATCAGTCCATGGGCATTCTACATTCCGGAGCCATATAGACAAATGCCTGGCGGTCTGAATAGGGAGCAGTTGGCCATTTATGAAGACTTTGGCAGGCAGTCGCGAGGCGCGCCGCACGTTAACAACACCTCTCAAGATGGCGGTCGACAACTCCCAGATGTCCTCCAAGACCAATTTGCGGCGGTGCCAAATCTTCCAACCCCTGGTGCTGCACCAGCTGAGCCACGACAGCCGGCCCAGCAACAACCTAGGCTACAGAGTCTTCAAGCACCCCATGCAGCGCTGGCTCAGCAACAGCCTAACGGCTACATGGACGCTCCTGGTCTCGAGCGAGGCCAGCGTGGCGTAGAGGACCTCCTCATCGAGTTGACCCGCGTCATCAAAGAGGCACCAGAGGAGCGTATAACAGACCTCCAACCTGGTAGCAGCAGTGTCCACCAAATCTTCGACCAGCTCATTTCAAGCATCGAGTTCGCCGGTCCTAACAAAGAGACATGGGCCTTCCGTATCGCTGGACAAGTCACAAACCACCTCTTCTCTGACTCCTTGAGTCGCCTGGAGGTCGAGGTCATGGCTCATCTCTTGAGCCATCTGTGCCAACTGTCCGTCCAGACATCACGACAAGTGCTGATGTGGTTGGCCACTCTTCATGACGACGACCGTATTTTCAAGGCTACAGTTATGGTGGCTCTTATGGAAGTCAATCTCATGGATATGCACCGCTTGAACACGACAATTGCCAAGGCCATTCAAGAACGGCGTGTCGCTGCAGTAGAGATGCTGTCAAGCCTGATGGAAGAGCTCTTGCTTAATGAGCACCCGAGTGCTTTCCGTGCCGACTTTGCCATGTCCATCGACGCTCTCACTACCTGGCTGGCAGAAGACTCTAGCTTGGAGCTTGGAAAGCGTGTCATTGCCAACTTGCAAGCGTCACCCGATGAGCAGTCACTGACACCACCAACATCTAGTCACAAGGATCAACTCGAGTACGTCTTTGACGAGTGGGTGCATCTTCAGATGGAAAACATGCCAAAGAAAACCGTTGGGGCTTTCATCTACCAGCTCCACCAACAGAAGGTGCTGGAGACTCAGGAATCTTCAGTCGCATTTCTTCGCACTTGTATCGATGCCTCTGTCATTGCATATGAGCAGGAACACTCATCCCCATATGGAAGTGGTAACGAAGACATTGCGACAGTTAAGGTCGATGCCCTTGGGCGGCTCATCGTCGACCTTCTCATCTACCAAGGTGAACAAGAGGGTGCTACTAAGAAGAGCAAAGCGAGGTACTTGGATCAGATGCTCGTCGTCGTAGTGCTCGTCCTTTGCAACCACCACACCACCCGAGAAGATGCTTTCAACCAGAAGGTGTTCTTCCGCCTATTTTCGACGATTCTTTTCCACTTGAACGATGCAGTGAAGGAAGAGTCGTTGGCAGAACAAAAGGCAGACATTTTCCTTGCAGTCGCCAAAGCTCTTTTGATCGTTCAGCCCTCCAACATTCAACGCTTTGCCTTTTCGTGGCTTGCGTTGGTTGCGCATCGTATCTTTGTGCCTGCCATGCTGGAGGAGGGTCAAGACGACAAGCGTTGGGACATCTACGCTCAGCTTGTGGAGACGCTCTTGATCTTTACTGGAAAGCTGATCAAGCCTACTGGGGAAACCATCATGACCCAACAGTTCTACCGCGGCGTTCTACGCGTGTTGTTGGTGATCCACCATGACTTCCCCGAGTTCCTGGTCGAGAACCATTTCAGGTTCTGCAACAGCATTCCAATGCACTGCACACAGCTCCGTAACCTGATTGTCAGCGCATATCCATCTACCATCCTCGAGATGCCAGATCCATTCACTGCGGGATTAAAGGCAGACCGCCTTGAGCACGATCTTCAAGCTCCCGTCATCCGTGCCGATATCGAGCAGATACTTTCAGATGCAGGCATTAAGAATGCCATTGACAATCTGCTGAAGGGCTCTGAGCTGAAGGACCAGGACGTCGACAAGGTCACCTGCGCAGTGTATTACGCAGAGCCCAAGCCTGCAGGCTTTGAGCTTGTCCCAACGACAGCCGATCCAGCGTTGATCCATGCGATCACATTGTATATTGGCATATCGACTCTTGGTACAGGATCAGCCACAGCGCCAATCTTCGACGCAGAGAGCCCAGCTACCAAGCTCATTGAAAGGCTGGCCAAGGACTTCCACCCTGAGGCCAGGTTCCACTTTATCAGCGCTATCGCGAACCAATTGCGTTTCCCAAACACACATACTCACTTCTACAGCTATGCGCTGCTGCACCTCTTCGGACCCCCAAGCGAAGACTCGCTGGCATCGGAGATTCAAGAGACTATCACTCGTGTACTGTTGGAGCGCCTGTTGGTTCACCGCCCACACCCATGGGGTCTCATCATCACGCTGTTGGAAATTCTAAAGAACCGCACATATGCATTCTGGGAGCTGCCGTTCGTGAAGGCGGCGCCTGAAGTACGTAGGCTCCTTACAAATTGTCTATTGAACCATACTAACTCGTTGTCCCTTCCAGGTTGAACGACTTCTCAACGCTCTCTTCACGCATGCTCAACAGAGCCCACGCCCAATAGCTTAGTCGGCTGGTGGCCGAATCTCGACGTTCACACCAAGAGTGCATTTAAGAGGCACCAATAATCTTCCGCCACTGCATTTACCAGCGCACTCTGGTCATAGGCAATACGTGGACCTTAGTCAGGGTCGGTCTTCCTTTTCTTCTCCTCATAATACCTTTCCTACCTAGTCATTGGCATTTCTCGGCTGCTTACGGGATCACGACTCCATTGGGCTGGCAGGCAAACAGTGGGTAATGATGATCCCGTAGAAACGGACACGGGTATAATGATGAACTGGAAAGGACGATGTTCGGGATTTCCGCTATCATTTTCTGTCTTGGTCACGGTACAAAAAAGCACGGAGTTCTTTGGGGTCGAGTTGGGTGTTTCTATTCGTCACGGAGATGCTTTACTAGTCATGTCTTCTGCACATTCTTGTAGAATAGCATTTGCTCGGCGAACCTTTCAACGGGGGGAGGGATGGATGTTCTTGGTGAAGGCGAAAATGCGCATACCGTCCAGTGCATCAAGTGTAGGATATTATCATGAACGGTGTTTCTACTTTCCTTTATCAAGTCTTTGATGATTAATGTGATACATACTAATAAAGAGATTCACGAAATTGCGGCTTATCGTTTCGTAGTTCTGTTCCACGTGGAAGGTACGCTAAAAGATACGAGTGCTCCTGCTCTCGTCAACCCTTATCTCATTAAAACTCTAGTGCTGGAACAGAAAGCATCGGCAACGACACAGAGAACATGACGGTTGCGACACTCTTAGAAGATACGTTAACCGAAACAGTGTTTATGGCTTCCAAATAAATCTTTGATAATTATAAATCCAGAACAGAAGCCTACCCCACACTCTTCTTAATAGCTGCTAACGTGTCTCAGGCTTGTTGGCTCCTACTATCCTTTATAACAACCGCAAGCTCTGAATCCCTTTCCTTTTCATAACGCCATAGTGAATCCATTCCAATCATCGAACGCCTTTTTCTTTTTCGCCTCATCCGAACCGTTCCGAACTGCCTGGCTGACCCCCACCGCCACCCTCTCTCTCTAATCTGTGTTCCTTGCATAGTATCTCGGCCTAGGTGCTTTTCGTGGTCTAGGTGCCTGGATAGGCGAGTTTTCATCGCGCTCTATCCGCAGCATCTCGCGCACCTTGCCGTCGAATGTGACGATGATTTGAAATGGGACCTGCGGCTCGCAGGACGAGGACGAGCTAAAGTACGAACTTGTGGTCGAAGAGGCGGGCGAGACGGGTGTGTCGGGTGTGGTAGGCGTCGAGCATCTGGATGAGGTGGATTGCGAAGTATCAGGAAGTGCATCCATTTTGGGTGGCTGTATATGGTGATCGGTCTCCGTATCTGCGGGCGCGGGCCGGCGATTATTATGCGGGGAGTGTGGATGGAACACGAGCAAAGTTCGGTAGCGACTGTGGTGGTAGGACTTGTGAAAGGTATGTGCTCGAATTTCTATGTTGGTTGATGATTCCAGGAAGATCAGGTGGAGGTATGTGTGTATATTTGGTGGGAAGGGGGGGTGTTCAGCTGAGGTTCCGATTAGTGTCTGCGTACGGTCGGCGTGATTCGGAGTACGTATCACGGGGTACGTTTACCCTAGAAACGGCGCTTGTTAGGGATGATGCTTACCAGAATCCAGAACATTGAGCGTGTACGCCGGCCAAGTCGGAACCAACGCTATACGTCTGAAATTGACAATTTACTCACGAGCAGCGTTACGTACCTCTATATCATAAACTCAAGAAGCAAGTATAGTCACCCTACACCCAGTGTCGCGAAAAGGTAGGCCGTATAGTCTTTTTTTGATCGAAGCTTCTGGTGTTTCTTGAAGCACCCTAAAAAACAAATAAAGTATTGGAGGCTTTTGCTACAGGGCACGACATGATCATGGCGGCCCTGCCCCTTTCCCATTTAATAGAAAATCTACACCCTTGGCTGATTCAAGAGGTCTCTCCTCCGCTCGCCCAGTTCCCTAGAGTGCAAGCACCGCGTCAGCTACATCTCGCATCGTCATCTCGGAAGACCCCCACTAGGTGGAGACGGCATTGGTGGTCAGGCCAGCCGCGACCTTCCGCTGCGCCACACAAGAGCGCGTTGGCTTAGCTCGCACGCTCATAGGCTTAAATTATTTACCATTAGCTATACGATACTATATTTAATAGTAAAAGAACTAACAGAGGGTGCAGCATATGTGTCATAGAATAGCAGACGTGGTGTTGCGAGAAGAATATCTTTGCTGTGTTTGGAGTCGGGGCTTGTGCTGTGTGTGTGTGTACATGAGCACAACAATGCAAGTATGGAAATGGTTATGGTCAACAAGATTCATTGCCACTTTGGGACTTATGCAGAAGGTTGCATGGATGTTTGAGCAAAGCGGAGCGAAAGATGAACCCTCCGAACACCCTCGCGCACCGCCCCCTGTACATTTGAGGGATGAAACAAGACTCGGTGTTCTCTGGCCAGCATGTGGGCTCTGGTTGGTTTCTGGTTTATTCGGTTGATATGAAAGGAGGTCGAAACGGCAACTCCCTAAGAGTACGGTATTGCTATAGGGATTTGCTGGGTCACATGACGCTTCCGGATACTTGAGCGGCCTCCTGTGCGTTTATTGTCCTGATCCTCTCCTCGCCCAAAGACCCTTTACATTACACCTAGACATTGCAATGCCACTCCATTCCCCTCAGGCTGCGAAGATCTTCACTCCTGCTAACATGAGCCTCCTCCAGGTTGCGCGCTCGGCGGTTGCCTGAGAGTTGAGTTCGGCCTAATGGCTCAGTCGTGGTCAGGCAAACCATCAAGCCTCACAAGGCGCAGTCGAATCTCACCGCCACCGGACAGCTCACCGTATATTTCGCCTTAGTTACTTCGTGCAAACATCACTCGCCAGAATGTTCAACTTGAGATCGCCTTCACAGCCGTGTGCTGGTGGCCTCGTATGCACCGTATACTCTGCCTCGCACCGCTAAGGCTGCCCTGCATGCAGACCCACCATTCACATCACCAAGCATCCGTTTCAACCGAACTTGCGGCTTTCAAGATGACGCCGATACTACCAGATTGTATCGCATCTGAGGTAACTGTGGGAGAATATCAAAAGCAGCCAAGCTGGCTGAAGGCAGGCTTGGCTTGGTCGGCTATTCGTCTCAGTTGGAGTCGAGTCGATGACGTTAGACAGCGTTATGCAAGACGTTGGTAGGATGATGGCGATGAAGGGCTGTGTGGTTAAGTATGGAAGGGCGGTACTTGTTCAAGAGCCTTAGGTTTCCAGGACTTGCCATGGATTTTTATCATAGCTGATTGAGCACTCGAGTGTCGCGCATTCTCTCTTACGCCCAATGAAACCAAGAACTGAATCTACAAACTACAGATATCATAAAGTATCGACAGCCTTTCAGGCAAAAGCCCAAATATGGAAAGACGGAGCATGCAAGAGCAGCGACATCATAAAGGTATGCACCGCCCATCGTATGCACAGAATCTCGATCTCTGACTCCACATAGCAAGGCAGTATATGGGTGACATCGCAGGAGGTCTTAGTCAACACCTTGGGCATCGCACGTCTTTTACTCGACAGCGCGCAAAGTCGCGCCAGTCTCAAACAGCAACCTCACCACGAGTACTGTCGCCATCGGAAATCGAGCAACTGCCTCAGCAAGCCTTGATCTCTGCATACTTACGATCTTCGTATCATGGGGACAACGCAGATCGTCCAGAGAGACTTTCCTCAGCTGGATCCTACTACACAGCTTCGTCATCGCACTACAAATCGCAAGGCGAAATGAGGAGAATAAGCGGGAACTTCAACGCACCAACGGAGATTGAGGTGGAGCGGCAGAGAAGCCACTCCAAACGGTCACGGGGTATGGGAAAGCTCAGGGATGTGTTCAAGGGTCTGGTGCGGATATAGTGATAGGATCAGTTCGTTGAGGTCGGTACTGGTACCTGCTTTCCCTTGTGCACACCATGTCATCTTAAAGTCGTCATGGTGCACACGACCTCGCGTCACGGTGAGCGCGATGTCCGCGCCGTGGGCTTGTTCTCTTAGATACCCAACATTTGCCTTTGATCTGCTTGTTTCAGCTTACGATCCACATGCTCAGTTTTTTCAGGTCTTGAGTGTGCGACACGGCTCGGGTGAGCGTGATGAGTGACATCATCGGCCCCGTCCATCACAAACGCCACACCTCCTTCGCTTCGCATACGCCTCTCCGCAACCGACCATGCATCCCAGCGTCACCTCGCCAACGACCCCATAACTTGCTACCCACTCCGTTATTGTGTGCAGCCACCGCTGAGCCCGGGCCCTGTCCTCCGCCGAGACAATCAAGAGGCATTTCAGTCGTTGCACCGATCATCTCCTTGATTGGCCACCCATCATTGCCCCTTCTGGACCTTGATGGACCAAGGGTGGCTGGCTTTTACCACACTGAAATGACGTCGAGGGGTGTGGTATGACTTGCAGGCTTGCCCAGCGTCTGTGCCATCCATATCGTAACTGTTGGGATGGGAATGTAGGCAGCCGCTTTGAGTCTTCGATGTGCATCATCGCATATGGGTCTGGATCCTACATTTAAATGTGAGGCTGGCAAACAGGCTGCCTATTTCTTCAAGACCCCCCCCTTACTTGCTGACTTTGACTCCCTATCCACCACTCAGCCCACCGAGTCAGACCTCGCTGCCTCCCTAATAAAAGAACATGGACCACTATCCCACTGTCAGTGTCAACGAACGCGAAACTCCTTCTTCGAGAATATCGTCACGCCACGACTCTGTCTCCTCTGTTGGCAAGACCTCAACTAGGAGTAAACGCTCGTCAACCATGCAAACAACAAGCTCCGCTGAGCGCCAGTCCTATTCATATCATTCCTTCCCATCTCCATCGACACACTCACCAGTCTCCTCCAATTCATCCCGGTCCAGCTCCAGTACCTCCAACCACTCAAACTTCCAACGCATCGAGGAAGAATATGCACGGTATACAAATGCGCCGCCCCCGTACAGCGAAAAGCAGTACGAGGGGAAGACCGATGAGGAGAAGACTAGTATGCGAATGAAGGATTATACCAAGGAGCTCTCGAGGATCATGACACGGCAACTGGTTAGGGGGCTGAAGATTAGTGAGAGGGAAAAGGTGAAGCGGGAGGGAAGAAAGAACTAATGATGCTATCTGACACGGGTCGTGGGTGGTGTGGAGGATATTACTTTCAACATGGGCTGGACCTGGTATGGTTTTGTATGACTAGTGACGTGTATGATTAACGATGGCGTTTTTTTTGTTTATGCAGCACTTTGGAATTGAATAAGCGAAGTTATTTTTTTCCTACTATCTCAACGTTGTTGTAAGGTTATGAGCTTGGTGTTTGTTACTATACCAATTTGATTCTGGCATATTATTTAGGAGTATCATTGGGGATGCGTTTTCGTCCCAACCTTGTTGCTCTGTGAGTTTTAGCTCCGAGGATACAAAAGCATAGTTTGGTTGTCTCTGAGTAGGTAGTGCGTCTAGTCATGTTGGTCATACCTAAGACGATTAGTCTCTTTACATTCAAACGTGTATTATAGAAGTACAATATCAAAAAAACCCGTGAAAACACGCCTGATCATACTTATGTATTAAGGTTATAGGTGTTTTGACACTCATTAACACAAAGTACAAAGACCGAACCTAGGACTTACTCAGTGGCATCGGAGATAGCTAGCGGATATAACCCTCAACCTCTTCTTTTCTCATGCGACGCAATGACGTAAGCAACGATACTTTTCCACGCTGCCATAACCGTGAATAATCACTTGGCCATATGTAAAAGATCCATTCATTCCAACTGTTTACATACACCGTCGCTCATTTTCATACCGCAACGCTATCCCACCCAGCAACCTCCCAAGCAAACCATGAAACCACCAACTTCACACAACCCCAAGCGCAACAAAACCTTCCATCCCTCCCATGTACCCATAACCCCCAACGAAACACTTCATCCAATACCAACCCACATAACCGGGCCCTTCCCCTTCCTAAACCCCACAAAAGCCCACTACCACACCCCCTCCCACCCAGACATCCGCTTCAAATGGACCTCGCGCAACGACCGCAAAGGCCGCCACGCCCTCTCCATCCCCCAACCCCACGCTTCCGCCCCGCGCCCCACCACCTCCGCGCACACCATCCTATCCAACATGTGGAAAATGGCAACCTACTACCCCATCTGGGACCTATCCTTCCTCGTCGCCTACATATTCACAATAGGCAGCGTTCTCTGGATCCTCAACGCATTCTTCGTGTTTTTGCCTTTGGTACGGCCGCAGACG